AATGAAACAAACCCAATGTTTTTAATTGGTCGATCCAAACTGCTTGTACAGCGGGGTTGATTTGACCTCAGTTCGCTGCTTTCGGAATAGCTGGACTAGCAAATGATAAAAAGTGACAAAAACGTTTCCATATGTAATGATTATATACTTGATACTTACTTGATACTTGATTGCCTCAGAAGAGGTAGTCATTGCCAATACTATACAGTAGTTCAAAGGCTAAATAAATATTAAAAATTATTGTTAAGAATTGAATGTGGAATACAATAGAATAATTGCTTTCTTTATGTGTTCCTGTATTCTGTTGTTGATAATTATCAATATCATGTACAGTCAACTGTGAATTACCATAATTAATTTATCTGTTTAAAGGAGCCTGTGAAGGACCCGTAACCAGGGAGGGGAGGGGAGGGGGGTTTGGGGTTTCGGCCAAATCCCCTTTTTTAACCAGTTTACTACTGAAGTAGTATTTTATCATAACTTTCTTAACTTCTGAGTTAAATTTGGCATTTAGGAAACGCCTTCCTTGCCTCTTTTTTTCCCCCACAAACCAGGGCACAGGCCTGCTGTGGGATTGAAATATATTCTGATTAATGGAGAATTCTGTACCTTGCTCTACTGTACTCTTGGTAAACCATTATGTCCCATGTTCATTGTGTCTACTGCCCCCAACGGGGGCGTAGACACTATGTCATGATGTAGCAATTAAAGATAGCGGAAAAGGGTAAATCCAGTTTAGGCATGATGGATACTACTACCACGAGGTAGGGGGTGCTCTATTGACAATTGAATACGCATTATAGAGACACAGCACGCGTTCGCCACAAACGCCTTTTACCGTCATTTGAAGGACGCTCTCTAGAACATGGTAGTACTCTTCGTGATGAACGATATAATGTGGTAACTCCAAGAGTTACTTATTTTTAAAGTGTTTTTAGTGTAATATAGTAGTAGGCCTATACAGAATAATATTGTTGTGAAAGAAAATTTCCATGAAAAATTCAGATACACTACAATAATACACACATCTGCATATTGAAGAACATAAGATAAAATAAAAAAAAAAAAATTGCCTGTATAAGGCGGCAGACACGCTCCCGCTGGGAGCCTATTTTTTATAAATGTTGTGAGTTTTGAGGATGTTATTGCCAACAACAATAGGCATTATGCATATGTATCCACATGAGTAGAATCACACAAGTATTGGTAGGTTCACAATACCCTATTCAGACTAGACTCTGTTGTGATCGGTTGCAATGTAGTCTTTACTAATCCAAAGCTGCTCACGATCGCAACTAAATACATTACAAAGATTCATTTTACTTCTTTAAAAAAAAAAAAAAAAATCCAATTTTTATTATTTACCAGCCTGTTTACCACTAGTATTAGGATAGTGATAAATGCCCTCACCAAAAAATAATTTCAAATCCTGAACGTGAATCCAACAATTAATTTTTTGGCCTTAACTCATACAGGTATGAGTCAGCTACTGTGTATAATTAATACGGTTTTTATATATAATTAATGATCTAAAAATAATGTAGACAGGAAGTTAAATGTATATCCCAAGTTAAAGAAATACAATGCTTATTGTATTCATTGATGCATTGACACAGTTGAAAGCATGGGTGACATGCCCTGGGGTTATTCCATGTCAAATCACCCGAAAATATGAAAATTGTTAATCCGACTGACCCCGATTTAGATGGAAATTGGTATACATGTTGGGTTTGGCATCAAACGTGCAAATCTCCAAATTTAGCAAAATCGGATCAATATTTTGGAAGTTATGGCCCACCCAAATATGGCAAAATTGGCCAAAATGGGTGTGGCTGCCAATAATATCTCCACAGTGGGTTGACCGATATTTATAAAATTGGTATTTCTAAAAAGAGAATTAACCAAGGAATCTAATTCTGCCATCAATGACATTTTGACCTTCATTTTGACCTCAAATTTGACCTATGGATCCCCTCGCCGTGAAATTTTATTTATGAAAATCGTGGCCCTGGGGGTTAGCTACGACATATAAAAAAATTGGAGATGTACAGTAATATTTCTTATAAGCAAGTAATATATAGTGAAAGTTTGCCTGTCTAGGAAAAACTCCAAAAATTGCTCTTTTAAATAAGATTCATAGGTAGGCATAGTGTGTGGACAAACAAGAGTAGCTGGTACCACTGTCAGTTTACTGGGTAGGCCTAGTCCAGGCTCAAAGAGACCCTTAGTGGAGAATCAACTTACAGCTACTGTAGTCCACACCTCGAGCACTTTGAGACCGTTTTGATATAAAGTGCTGCTAAACTGAAATGATACGAAAGAGAAAATTGGGGGAATTAACTTGCAATGTGAACCTGCTAGAGTAGGCAGAAAACAGATGATGAGGATGAAATCTAACTACATTACATTAGTGAGTGAAGCGTAGTTAAAGAAAGCAGCTTAGCTCAGTCGGCTATACTGGTGGTACTTTTGCCACTGTGTGTGCGCTGAACCATAGTGATCTCTTGGTCCCCGGTTCAATTCCCATCACTGCTGTCTCCTTGTGCTTTAGCTGGAGGGTTGAAATGCAAGATATGATAGCACACCGTCTTTCGGATGAGACATTAAAGCCGTTGGTCCTGTGTGTATTATTGCCCATGTGCACCTTTGGAAAAGAGTTGGGGATTGTCTCCTGGTGTACAATCAGTGATCACCACCAGAAGGACCCCACTGGAAATAAATCTTGTTCAGACTTTCGTGGGCTATCCTTGGAGTTTACACTGAATAAACCCATCCCATCCCAAGCAGCTTGGGACTTGGACGTTGCGGACATACAGTGCAATGGCATTGAATTGCGTGTACACTGTAGTGCATGATACTAGATAAATTATTTTAGAAAGTATGTAAATAGAAGGTTATCTTTATGCTGGATTTATTAATAACAAATTATGTTAACAAACAAGGTTATCCAATAAAACAAACTTGTACAGTACTACTATTCCATAGGCTCTTCCTCATAGAATCAATTTAATATGAAGACTTTTGGTAATTCAAAACCAGCTCTTGCTTCCTTCTTTTACAACAGATACCATCAGAATATTAACATTGGTTTCTCATTAAAATCCTCCTCGACATTTGTGTTTTTGTCTGAATAAATAAATAAATAGTCAATAAACTTTATTTAAAAAAAAAAAAAATTAATGAGACGTTTAAGCCGTTAGTCATGCGTACAATATCACCCATGTGCATGTTAAAAATGCAATGAACTGTGCAGGAAATAGTAGGTGATTGTGTCCCGGTCTACTGTACTATTACCACCAGAAGCACCCACTCAAAATAAGTCTTCCGATGTAGTAGGTTATCCTTGGAAGGAGTGATTCACACTAACAGTACTAATATCCTACCTACGATTACAAGTTAATAAGAACATCAGTAGTCACACAACCAGTATAAGGTGTGTCGGCCTCTTCGTTAGTTTGCTGAGTCCTTGTTATATACTCATATTTCTTTTTGTCATTTGTTATCGTGTGTTGCTTGCTATGGATACGATTCCGAAGTAACAGTTGAATTGAATTGAATTATAATCACGTGTTAAGAATTTAATTATGATAATTGCAATTTCTTTCATTACAATATGGAGCGTGACATTCATATGGAAAATGCTATGATTAATATTTTTGTCTTAAAACCTTTCTTTAAAAAAAATACAGTGGTTTGAATCAATTATGCTTCGAAAGAAATCATTGACAATCACCCCACCCACACGGAGGACAGTGTCAGCTCGTGAAAGGAAGCAGAAATCACAGAGCAGCTATCTGCAGGTATAGTACACTAAAGCTCTGTAGAGATCATCATATTTTCTTTGACAATAAATGTTGTATGCCCATATATAGTCATAATGTGTCTATATATGGTCGTGATATGATGTCATCATGACCATATTTAGGCCTGTCACATGTTTTCATCAAATAAAAATTGTTAGTCTGGATAGGCCTTTAGATGTGATATATGGGTAGTATGTGTAGTGATAAGTAGTATTATAGTTTACTATTAATGGATAATATATAGTGTGTTGCAGAGGTGTAGGCATAAAAATCAGTCAGAGAACCAAAGTGAATTTTTGATATAACACTGGGGGCCACACACTAACTTTGTTGTTTTCGGTGTGCTTCCAAAAATCTTCACGCACTGATTTTATACCGCTTTATGCTCAGTTTTAATGTTAATTTTTAGAGATGATCGGTGTCGGGCCGCCAAGGTGTTTGGTGGGCCACACAAATAGGGTTTTCATTTAATTTTTGCAGGCCTCAAAAAACTCACTATGGGGCCACACTTTGTCCACATGTGCTGTGGTTTAGCAGCACATTTTAGTGTGTAGTGCCCTAGTAGTATGCAGGAGCAGAGTGGATGGGTGGGGAGAGACTACTCAAACTACAAGATGTGTGAATCAACACCTACCTCAACCCCACCATGTTAATACTGTATGTGAATCCCCTCTTGGCGTGGGTATAGTTGATAAACTAATATTTTCGAAGATCTTAATTAATAAAAAACAAAAGTGTTAATTTAGGCCAACAAATGCTATTGTTTTACAGTCATAAAAAATACCTGTATATGTTTAAAAAACTTTAGTGAGGGGCTAAAGCTTATTTAGTCCCACTCTAAGTTTGCCCATAGTATCCATTAGTTGAAAGAACTGTATGCTATGCCCTAGTAATGTGCTAAAGCACTTTCTGCATGTGTAGGCCTACTGAATTATTTGTGTAGCTATGTCAATATAATTTGCTTGGTACGCTTTCAGTTTCACCACCATGTTAGTAACAACAGGAAAGTTTGTTTATTTGCTTAGTGATTAAAGTGTTTGAAATATATGTGAATACATGCAGAGATTTTGTAGATTCATTCTTACTTTCATTCGTATCATACTTTCAAACCACCAAGGTTATTCATTGACAATTCTGTATATACCAATGCTTTTGAAATTTGGTTAAGGATTCTGGAAAAAAAAAAAGCAAAACATGTCTTGAGTTTCCCAAAGTAATAAGGAAGTGTTGAAAAGAATATATCACTGCTTGTGAGTCCATTTCTTGATGCCAGACTCGATAATTACTTAGATAAACAGATAGTTTGCAAGCATATCAATGATGGTTGGGATGTGATATGCCATGACACGTCAAGGGTCATCTAACATTTAAAAAAAAAACATGTTTTGTCTATGTATATTTTTTTGTCAATTTTTCTACATATTTATATTGAGAAATCTTGATTTTGTTGATCACAAGCCAGAATTGGCTGGTCTTGCAGTGGTGGGAGCGTGGTTTAAATAAAGAAATATTTTTATAGGCATAAACTATATTTAAATGTACAGTATTCATGATCATATAGACTTACATCCATTTTCTTTCCTGAATCTGTAATTGTAGTTGATGAATAATATAGCTGCTGACTTGGGTGTTATGCTCGACGACCTTTGCCCTGGCCATAACGAAGAGTCTGAAAAACTAAAGTAAGGTTATCTTTATTTATTACGTCTATCAGCTGCAATTTGTGCTCTTATACCTGCAGTGCACCTTCATTATTATTCTTACGTTTTTTCATAACTAGAAACAAAATATATATTTAGATTTATAAGAATCGCATGTTTGATAATTAGAAATGTATTTACTACAACATTATTGCTGTATCTCCACTTGCTTAACAATGCTAAAATATAGATAATAGATGCTAATCTAGCAAATATAGAAAATATATATTTATATAGGTTGTAGATGTCATTGTATTCATTAATTTGACCAGTTATATTGCGACTGGTGTCACCAAACTCTAGCCTAAACTTTGTGTTCCTCATTCCTCAAAATGGTCACTATTTAGACAAAGTTGCATTTAATACCATAAGGACATGAG